AGTGTTTCGTTGACGAGTGTCCAATAATGTCGAGGTGGTACTTTATGGCCTCATCTGCTAACACTTGTTCATTTCCTCTGAGTGAGGATATGTTCCAATTTCAGACTTTTAATTCCCACTGGTGGTGTCGTCTTCGTGTGCTCTTTTATGACGTGCTATAATGGCATCGCGCTGTCTGCCTCCTCCGTTCAGAACGAGTAGCGGCTCCGTTGCTGACTGGTATCTTCGTCGTCGTTCCGTCGGTCTTCATCAGCCGTTGTTGCGCAGCTACGCCACCGGCTGGCAGAGGACAAAGAGTAAGTTCTGATCGCCGACTTTCCTCAGTCTGCCTTAGTCTCCCAGCAGCCCGCGCGGTCCTTTGTAACCCGGGCGACGACCGAGCCGGTATGATTTTCGATGGCGTGAATACACATAGGAAGAAGCCATCATTGAGATGGTGCGAAAATTTCAGATTAATTGATTTATGCTCCTGGTTGCCGCGATCCGAAAAATGACCATATTTAGCCTCCTTTATACTTCACAAAACTGTCATTCATTGTGGCGGCGATAGCGCCAGTCATCATTTGCTTATTGATTTACTTGTTTCATTTCAAAATTTACTTAACTGTTGTTTAATTTTCTCAGTTACTGTACTCACCGTCCTTTTATATCCTCAGAAACAAAACATAAGGTGTTAACCTAGCTTATGATATAGAGATTAATTTTCAGTTCAATTTATGTGATCCATTGCACTCTCCTTTAAAACCAAGTGCCCAATGGTTGAACGACTTGCGTTTAGACGTGCTGACTAATCTCAGGGAACCATATCCACTTCTCCGGTGATCAAAGCGGATCTATAATCATTGGGTAACCGCTTCCTACTGTCTCAGTCTGAGCCACATGTAGGTACAGATCCAGTCATTGGCAATATTTTGGTACACCTTTTTATCCATGCAATTTCATTTTGCAGATATTCGCGAATCTTTTTTTGAAACCAATGTGTCCTTTCAAATAGTAACTGACGCAAGACAGTAAGACAAATTCAATACTTTTAACCAATTGCTATTTGTAATAGGCTGCCTCGTAATAATCCCGATATCATCGCGACATCGCTTAAATCCTAAATAAGCTGAACTTGAATCAAAAAATGGTTTATTAGAGATTAATTTTTCAGTTGGTTATTGTAAATCAGCTAAGATGTCTTGACTACTTCGAAGTCATACACTTGCGATGTTTTTGCGATAGCTCTATTATAATTTTGATTCTTCAATAGGTATCTTCAACAAACTGCTGTATGGTTATTTTGCGATTAAAAGACTGCACTATAAGATGTAGCTCAAACGCTGCACGTTTGAAGAAATAGATATTCAGTCAGATGACCGATATTGACACACGAAAATACAGATCAGTTAATGTGATAGCAGATTTAATGCGATCAAAAGTGAATATTATAATGTTTGAAAATTTTATTTCAGAACAAAACATGTATTAGAAATAGCAAAATGCGTGTAACAAAATAAGGATAAGATTGCGAGCGATAGTACTACTTTGAGAAAGTGTTTTGATTCGTAAATGGCGATAATTACATGGTCCGTGATCTAGCATTGCCACATCCTGAAATCGTCGGCTTTAAAAGGTTTTGTCACAGTGAATGAAGGTGAACGATCAAGAGCAGTTCAAACTCAGAGTTTCTCGAAAGCAGAAAATGACAAATTCGGTCATAGGTGCAAAAAATTATTTTGGCAGATTTCTTGTGAAAACTCTCGCATTCCCCGTGACCGAAATTCGGTATAATTGGCGTATTCCGCACCTTATAATTTACAAGATTCCTTATAGTGCAGTTTGGAGCAGTTCAGTTCAAAACAGGCTAACTTGCGGATCGAACAAACGAAACCGGTGCATTTGATCAGTTGTAATGCGGCGTTATCGTTCAATGCCAAAATTGCTATAGAAGTTCCGATAGAAATCTTTGTGAGCGGGTTAGACGTCGAGCGCGGTGGGGTTGTGACTGTGAAATATTCTGTGAGTGGATTGTTCTGTATTATTAGCTAGTAGGTTTTGCGGTTGCCGTTCGCAGATTCGACCGCATTGTTTGTTGTGTTTTTCGGTATCTCCGACGACGCATGACGACCAAACTTTTTGGGAAATTGTTTTCGGACGTAAAGCAAAACCAAGGCATCGCTGACTGTTCGATTTCAATGATCACTGATCGTCTGTCTTCCCTAAGCGATGCTGGCTCCGACGCATGCCTACCTTAGGTGTATGCGGAAGTTCGTTTGGAGTTTGACAGCATCCGTTGTCGTCGTTGTCGATCGGTCGGTTTTTGCTGTTTTCTAACGAGACGACGGATGCCCAAAGCTCGTTTGGTTTCAGTCGTCGCAGGCGTGACTTGTTGCGCGGTTTAATTTCTTTACCTTCTGATTTGCCGTTTCTGTTGACGAATACTGGTCGAGTGTTTGATGTATGACCGTCAGATTCCCTGGTCGATGCGGAGTGATCGAGCGTTACACCGCACCGGATAAGTTTCATTAAAGAATTTGTTGCCCCACTACGCCTGGAGTGAACAGCGGCCAAATTGACCTCACCAAGTGGCTTCGGCAGAATCCACTTTCGGCGTAATTCGCTCGCTTTCCTCTTTTGCTCGTCCTTTCGGTCGTTACTGAGGCCAACCCTGCTTTGCAGAGAAGCCGAAGCCAGCTGCTGACCAAAAGACCATCGGCCAAATGCTAAATCCATCACTTACGTCAGCATTTCATCTATGGCAAGTAACAGGTGTTCTGGGCTTTGCCGACGGCTTCAGGTCAGGCGTCAGTCAGCCATAGAATTTGTCAGAAGACAGCAAACGGCAGTAAACAGGTCGCGGTCTCCGTTGTCGTCAGTCGCTTCGATGACGTCTTCGTTGATCGGATCGACCAAATTCTCGATCGGTTGGTTAGTCGGTCGGTTGGTCAGTCAGTCGGTGTGCGAACGATGACACCAGAATTTGCTTGTGGAGGGTTGCACTAATCATTTTGAGGTCACGACCCATTTTTAGACCCACTCGATGATAACTACGTCGATGGTCACTCGATCAGTGGTCATCGCTTTTCTCATTCAGCCGCTGATTCATTCACAAAGATCATCGTAGAAAATTCCTTGCAAACTCACCGTGTCTTGTCATATGCCTCCAAATACTTCTGAACACGA